AGGAATAAATTACATTTTCAAATATATTAGAATAGAAAACAGCTATTTTGTTCTAATAATATTTCACAATATTGCTCTTTTTCTGTATTTTGATCAAATACATGTAGCCTTGGTGAGCATAAGAGACTTCTGTCCGAAAATAAATAAATAATAGTGTATTTGTCATTTTCTTCAATGAAAAGTGATAAGTTTAAAGTTTGTATAATTAGGTTTATCATATCATTTATCATAGCTGTTAAAGTCTGAGTATATCAAGCCTGAACACATTGTGTTATATACACTATAAATAGTATATACTTGCATATTGGCTTATTGTCGCATTAATTAAACTATTTGGAAATATTAACTGTTGTATGGTTAGGAAATATAAATATATTTTTGTACATAGTTTGTAGATAGTTTTTGTAATTGCATCCAATCATCATTTTTAAAAAACACACAATTTAAATTGTTTGTAATTTCTTTTCTCTATAGAAGTTTGATCTCTTTTCTGTTTGCAGGAGGCCCCCCTGATGTTGGTAAAATGCTGGGAGGAGAAGAGGATAAAGACCCTGAAGCAGAAAAAGAGAAGGAAGAGGAGAGACAGGAAGCTCTCAGACAGGAAGAGGACGAGAGGAAGGCCAAACACGCCAAGATGGAAGCAGAGCGGGAAGCCATAAGACAGGGCATCAGAGATAAGGTTAGAGACACCAACCGCCTCTGCTTTTGTCTCTTCTGCTTTTTGGAAAAAGGATCATTAGCCATCCTTCTTGGCTCCCCAAAATGCCTAAAGTCACATTTTCAAATCAATATTTTTTCATCTTGTTAAAGAGTCCATTCAAAAATGGAAATTCTATCATCATTCACACAGCCGCCTGTCAATCCAAACGTGCGTGACTTACTCTCTTCTGCTGAACTGTTTGTTAACCAAACAGTTTTGAGTTCCCATTGAATTCATTCGTTTTCTGTAATTTAATGCCAATGTAATAAAAAAAATTGTGTTATAAATGTACAATAATTTTGATAAAAATGTATACGGTGTATATATATATATATGAGCGAACCAGAACGAACTGTTGTATGAGCGATATCGCTCGAGTACGAGAGTGGCAATGTAATAAAAAAAATTGTGTTATAAATGTACAATAATTTTGATAAAAATGTATACGGTGTGTATATATATATATATGAGCGAACCAGAACGAACTGTTGTATGAGCGATATCACTCGAGCACGAGCGATACCGGCTCTGTATCAGCATGGCTGTGATTAGGCCAGAGGCACATGTGCTGCTTCAGTTACGTTATTAGTGAGAAATAATGAGGTTATACGAGTGAAACAATGCGGCAAGACGTGCATCCAAATGAGAGAGAGAGACCGCTAAGCTAGACGTTTCTTCTAATATTAACTAACGTACCCTAAGATTAGCTCAGTGAAAGAAGAAAAAAAAAAAGGTTTTGTATCACTCCGCTAAAACAAGCGGAGTGATACAAAATTGTGAAAGGGCGTTTCTGTAGCGATACCAGTACAATATCTCACGGTTCTCAACCAATCTGATTTGAGAACCAGAACGAACTCTTATATATAAATGAATGGTGTTAATAAATGTGGAAACAAGTCATCACAGTCTGTGAAAAAGGTCCATTATGTTCCATAGGAGGCAAATACAGGTTTGGAATGACACAAGGGTGAGTAAAGGATGACAAAATGTTCATTTTTGGGTGACAAATTATTACTCAGAGAAAATAATGCACACAACTTGAGGTTAATTCTTAAAAACATTTCACAATATTTGGCTAAACTTATACAAATTGTAACAAGCATCGTACCATGATATTTTCTAAAGTACCACTAAAGTATATGAGCACAGTAAACATTCAGTATCACATCACTTGATTCAAATGTTTGGATACATTTGACTAAAGACTCAAAAGTGCATAATTGAACTTAGTTCTGTAGACAAATATAAACTGTGTCCGAGTTTCTTTAACTTAAGCACTTTTTTTATTGATACAACTTTTTAATGTAAACTTTTAAATGTCTCTATGGTTGTGTAACAGTATGGCATTAAGAAGCGTGAGGTGGCCGAAGCGGAGGCACAGGCGGCGATGGAGCAGGCGAGCGAAGGCAGTCTGACCCGTCCAAAGAAAGCAGTACCATCCGGCTGCGGAGATGACGACGAGGAAGAAAACATCATGGCCACGGTGATGAAGTATCTCCCGGGCCCACTGCAGGACATGCTGAAGAAGTAATTCCCTGAATAATCTCAAGCACACGCAGCTTTAGATATCATTTTAGCGTGTACTGACTTCGGTGAGAACAGAGCACACTAGAGCAAAACACCGACTACACCATTTACCTTTCACACATTTCGATTCGCAAGGAGCTTTAGATATTAGTGACAGATCAATCGATCAAGCGAGAGGGGTTAATTATCAGAATATAAGCCATATTTTATCTTCACAGGGAAACCTGAATCACATCATCTCTTCAGCAGTTATTTCGTATCCAATACGTAAACAGCAATATATTTGCATGAATTGTGTCTAGTGTCTATTCCACTGTTTTGTATTATCAGTCAGTAAGATTCCCCACGTTCATTTAGCGTTCGATACGAAGAAAAAAGTATTTGATTAAAGACATTCTGGTCTTGCATGTGTCCATAGTGTTTGTGTGCTCACTGACATCTTGTTTTTTGTCGCTGCAGAAATTGCAATCAGATAAAGAAGGCAATAACATTCTCCCACACTGTAAACTAAACGACAACTACCTTTGTACGTTTGTCACTAAGCCATTTAGTTCATTCTGGCAAATCTTGTCACACTTGCACTGTAGTTTCATCAGTCTGGAACATGTAATGCCTCAATTCACTTTAACAGTGTTGTCGAGATTGTGTTCTCCCACCGTTCTTGTGCTTTACGACAGATTATGAATTTACAAAGATCTCTGATTTTAAGATTTCACAGGGATGCTCTGTGTTTCAAATTGACTGTAATTTCTCTGGGCTAGAGGCGGGGGGATTTAGTTTGTGATCTACAACATTCTCAGCAATAATAATGTATTCTGTTTGCTTGGCTTGCAGTAAAACAAGAAATAAAATCGTAAGAGTGTATGAATGGCTCTGATGATATGTCTGTCTTAAGATCTGATGGGTATGGCACTGTAATAAAGGAGTCACACATATTTAGTTTGGTGTTTCAATTCACTGCTGTTCAAAAGTTTGGGGTCAGTAAGATTTTTTTTTTTTTTTAATTTATACTTTTATTCAGCAAGGATCTATTAAACTGATACAAAGTGTTTTTTCTGTCTCGTGTCATTTGATTTTCTCTCTATAAAAAAAAGTGGAAGACATTGATAATATTACAAAAAATTCTACTCTATTTGGCATTTTGTATTCATCAAATAATCCTGGCAAAAAGAATGTATCATGTATTTCTAAAAAAAAAAAAATTTGCTTTACCATCATAGGAATAAATTACAAATTAAAATATATTAAAATAGAAAAGAGTTATTTTTATTTGTAACAAGATTTCACGATATTACTGTATTTTTGTACAAATAAATACAGCCTGGGTGAGCATACAATTTATGAAAATCTTTCAAAAATATACAAAAATCTCACCAAACTTTTGAACAGAAGTGTATATGTACTTGCGTGCCCATTGCAGTAAACTGCAATAATCAAACATTTTTGTAAAACTTCAAATAAATTGTGGCCAGCACAATTTCACAGCTTCTACAAATACATTACAAGTACTGTACAAATACATACAGTTTCCAGTACATACAGTTTTACATTTATATAAATTTTAAACTAAACTTCGAAGAAAGTACAAAGCACAAATTATTTGAACATAAAGCCTGCATAACCTTCATATAGTGCAGCCACTATTAATACACCAGACCACAAAGTGGCACTGTTGGTACATTTTCTGAGCATAAATATTTAAATAGTATTCCTGATGCAAAGCTATGAATGTGGTGAAAAAAAAGTGTTAAGAACATTTCCACACAACTTATTCAGTCTTTATTAACTCAATAAACCACATACAGTAAGGTGCACTAACAAAATGTAAATATGTGCACCTTCCCAGGCACTGGGATCATGGGCCTGCGTCCAAACACAGGACAAGACGATCAACAGTAAAATTTTCCCTTTTTGGTTTTGAACAAGACGACGGCCCCAAAAGTCCTATAAATACTCAGTCCTTTAAACAGAAGGATAATGCTTACATCCATAAAACACTGACTTTTACTGTGCTGGGAGAGTGTGAAGGGAGTAAGGCCTGATCACGGACAACAAATATCTGAGAAACACACACACACCTGCTAAATCACTGCACATGACAGATTGCAAATGATGCCTAGTCTCACAAAAACTGCCAATAAATGACCAGGTCATATTTCCCCTCAAAATCAAGATGTATGAAAAATCGTTCAGTGCAATTTTAAGTAAACATTCCTGTACAAGAGCTCAACATTGCGAACATTTCACTCGCTTCTGCAACTAAAAATAGACGTGTGCAAACTGTAAAATGTATTTAGGAGCACGTGCAAATAAAAAAAGTTGCTGCAAGTATTTAAAAAGTCTTAAATATCTTCAATTGTATAACAAACATCGTATCTTAAAAGGTCTTGGGCACAGAAAAAATAAATCATGATACAGCCTATTATTGTTAAGCTTTAAAAGGTTATTATTTCATTATGTAAATATGAACGCTGCAAAGTCTGTTCTGTCTGGGCTGCCTCCTCTCAGGAAAGATTGCAAACATTATTTAACACAGATTTTACTAGTATCAGCACAATAATCAGTTTATAACAGTATATAATTACCAATACAGTTTGAAGCGGAAATATTTAAAAACCTAGTGTACTTTCTGTGCTGTAAATGTCTGTTTGTGGCTCTTTATGATACATTTGCAATGCGCCCTTAGAGTTTTAACATGCTCCTAAATTGTTCAACTTAGGAGCACTGGTGTTCTTTGGGAAAAAAGTAAGAATCAAGCCCTGTGTATTATTTGTTATACTGAATTTAATTAATGTACTTTTTTAATTGCTGTAATGAGAATTCAGGGGAAATCATGCTTAAATGCCATGAAAGTAATGTCACAATGCAAAAAATCTTGTATGGTAGTTCGATCCTAAAATAATTTTCTTCATGCAAAATATAATATCTTTGTTTAGGGATTTAACCTGGACGTTACTTAATGAGAGCAGTCATAGGCAATAATACATATAGTTTTATGATAGGTTTTCAATTGTGTTTTGATCCTCACTCAAACATAAAAAAAGCATTAAATGAGGAAGAACACTGTATACACATCAGTCACATTCATTTTATGATAAGTGGATAACATAGAGAGACCGTTAGTATAATAAGAGAGATATTATTGCTAATTGTGGAAATTGAAACACAGCTTGTCCTAAACATGACAAAGAGGTTTTCCCCTCATCAAACCAAGGATATAAACTACATAAATACTTTCATAAATATACTGGAGCAGTGCAAATACATAGAGCTTAGATTTTGTACTGTTATCAGGTGACCAATAAAGATATGTTCACACTGACAGTGATTTGCAGCGACTGGAAATTCATATTTATTTTTAAATGCGAGTTAGTGATTTCTGCGACATGAGCTGTTGATGACTTGGTGATGCGAGTTTATGCAAATATGCACCAACAATGCACTTTCATTGGTGTTTGCCGCATAGCAAAGTACTAGAAACCACAGTACAGCGACTTGCCAGCAATGAATCTGCATAGCTACAAATTTACCTGTTGTTAAACATTTCAAGAGAGAAGAGCAGGTCAAAATTACAGTATATCCCAAAAAGCACACAGTAAGAACATGCTTCTATGCGATGTGTGCGAGAACTACTACTACAGTGAGACTCAAACTGGCCAGGAGAAGACAAAACCACACCTACAATCAGTCAAGTTTGAAGTATGATGCTCTTGGTGTGCATCCAAACACAGTGAAATGGCTGGTTTTAAGGTCAAACTGTTTACAGCAAGAATATTAGGTCAACATTGTGAGAGTGTCATTTTCATCTTTACTGCTTCCATCAACACAAGTAGGTGATTTTCCCCTGCTAATGTTATGGCAGGTAGTTTACACATTTTTAAAACACTCACCATGAGTAACTATGTGTCTGGTAAACAGAGGGTGGTACCTTTGGGTTTCCAGATCTGGGGCTTTAAAAAAAAGCATTCTGAATTGAATGTTTTTTTTTTTTTAGATGATCCTGTGATTTATCTGTGAAAGGGACAGAAATGAACGGAGGATTTGGGATGAGATGGGGTGTGATGCAGGTCCCAGGCCATAGAGGGTTCCCGAGGCTGCTACACATTTGTCCGACATTTAGGAAAGATGGGTCCTCCTTCAAGCCTTCTCTTTCTTACTGCACACACAAATAAAAAGGGTTGATCAATTTTAAGGACATAAAAAATAATGAGGAAACTTTGGTTTCATTATAACAATCTATTAAGGGCTCAACAATAAGATTTTTCATTTTGTTTTGTTTTTTTAGACTTGTATTTGTCCTGCCAGCAATTTTACTGATCCCACATTGTTTTTTTAGGTTTTTTTCAACGTTTTTTTATAAATTCATAAAACAGATTAAAATTATTTTTTAAAATTGTAAACTTTTTTGAAAACATTAAAAATAAAATAAAATAAAATAAAAAATGAATGTGCAATAATAACTGGAAATTACACATCCATAATGTAACTGCATGAAAGCTATGAATGTATGAATTCATACATGCACTTTTGCTTGAAAACAATATATTACTGATTACTTTTATGCTTCCAAGACTATTATAAAAAAGACATTCTTACAATTTCTCACAAAACCTTTATGTTAGACATTGGGCAATCCTTACTGCATTTCAAAGACAGAAACTTGCAATTAAAGGAATAGTTCACTCAGTTAAAAGAGCACGTGTTACTTTCATGATGCTTTTTGCCTTTTTTGATACTTTTATTGAGACATTATGGTTATTCTCCTTTTGCATTCCATAGAAGAAAGTAAGTTAAAAAAGAGAGAGAGAGTCAAAACAGAGAACTCAATTTTTTTATTTTTGTGTGAACTATTCCTTAAAGAAAATGTTCTGCATGCACAGCAAGCCAGAGGGCATTTTCTAAAAAACCTAAAGAAAACACATAAGACAGCCAAACAACCAGCACAACAGACAAACAAAACCAAGAAACAACCAGATAATGGAGAGAGACAGGTTTTGAATTCACTTTGACGGAAGGAAATGCAGTAGTGTAGATGCTGAAGTGGCAGAAGGGAGCTTGAGGAAAAGTACAAAAGTTCAAAATGATCCAGAGGCTTGAGGGATTGCAAGGAGACTAAAATGAGAGCGAAAAGAGCAGGTAGTACCCAGAGCGAGACAAGGAGGGCAAGACTCTGTGTTTACTTGGGTTTTGATGTGAACTTGAACTTTTTACAGAAGGCTCTTTCCAGCTCAGGGACTGACAGAGTGAATGTGATCGCGCCATCTGAGTCCGACCGAACTACACGTGCTGGAAATACATACATGGCTTGAAAACACCAGTAGATACATACCATTAATACTTTTATTCAGCAAGGCTGCATTAAATTGATCAGAAGTGACAAATTCCTATTTAACATAAAAGCTGTTCTTTTGAACTTTCTATTCATCAAAGAACCCTGAAAAAACGGCATCAATTTCCATAAAAATATTACATATTTTTAAAGCTTTAATAAAATACTTCTGAAGGAACATGTGACTTCAACGTTATTTCACAGGAATAAATTACATTTTAAAACATATTAAAATTGAATTAAATATATTAAAATGTTAATTCAAAACAGTTATTTTAAATTGTAATTATATTTCACAATTTTATTATTTTTAACACATTTTTGAGCAAATAAATGCATCCTTGATGCTTCTTTAAAAAAAACACTCAAAAATCTCCCCGACCCCAAACTTTTGAATGGTAGTGTACCTATTTCAGCAAAACCAGCACACAAACACATTAATGCATATTTCGACAAATATACAGAGTCAACAACACTCTGTTAATTCTGAAATGCACATACAAATACAAAATTTGACTGCATCTATCTCAGCATGCGTGTTTCTTACCCAGGTCATTGTTGTTCATCATGGCATTAGATCCACGCAAGCGTGGGCCCTGCTGGGTGAAGTGGTATCCGAACTTCAGCAGAGTAGTGTTCTTCTCCAAAATGTTAGCTATCTCCATCTCAACCTTATTACCCAAAGGCTGGCTCTGTATTGCACATAAACACACAGGATATAACAACTTTTCCTATGCCACTCCATCATCCCTACATTCAGACTGAACCCCTGACCTCAAGGATAATGGCTCAAACCTCATACGACCTTATTATTTGTATGTACTGTATGTGTGTGTGTGTGTGTGTGTGTGTGTGTGTGTGTGTGTGTGAGAGAGTGTGAATGAATGAGTGTACCTGGTTGTCAATCTTTAGCTCCTGCAGTGTAGTGTTGCTCTTTAAGGATTCCACGAGTGCCAGAATTCCAGCTCCAGTAATGAAGTTTGACTCAACGTTTAGACTCTTTAGAGTGGTGTTCACTTTCAGCATGTCTGCTAGTGCCTGGGAACCAAACAACATTACACGCTGTTTAATAACTACACTACCGTTAAAAATTCAAAATCTTGAAAACAGTTACTTAATATTTTTGTGGAAACCATGATACATGATTTCAGGACTCCTAGAAATTCAGAAGAACAGCATTTATTTGAAAAAGAAATCTACTGATCAATTCAATGCATTCTTGCTGAATAAAATATTTACTAACTAAACACAAATGTTTGAACGGTAGTGTATTAAATGTCACGAAATAAGTATTAGAATGTATTCACCCCAAAATATTTTTTTTTATTTTTTTTTTATAAAAGTCTGCATAAATTAAACACACTACTTTCTTGCATTAAAAGTAATGAAAATGTGTAATATATATATATATATATATATTTCTAAAAATAGGCTGCATTTTCTTCATGGAAAATATAACTTCTTATTTTACATTATTGGAAAAATGCTTCTATATGTAACTCACAAAGGCCACAGGATCGTTACTTCTGGTGCCAACGATGCTCAGGCGTTCCACAACACTGTTCCCTTTGAGAGCTTCAGCATACGCTTTCAGAGTTGGGATTGGAATATTCTACAGATCACCAAAAACAAAAAAAAAAGCAGAGGACGCAACCATCAAAACGGCAGGCTACCAGACATGTGAAGACACTATCCAACAAAGAGTACAGTATAAATAAATGAGTTAAAGTGGCACCCTGATGTTGTTTAGGTTGACCTCAACGAGGTCTGGATCATTTCTCTTGATTCTCTGTAGTGTTTCCTCTACATCTGTGTCATTGGGCTGTTCGTCTGGCACAGGCTTATACTGAGTACACTGGATTACACCTGTGTGTACATAATACAACTTTGAGTTACAACAAATCATATGGTTCAGTGCTAGCTGTTATATAACATAACACTATATCACATTGTAAAATTCAACACTGTCTATTCCCAAGCTACACTTACAATTGTATGGCATTGCATTATTTTTTGTTCACATTTGATTTTACATTAATTTACATTTATTTGAAGATTCATTTGACATTCAGGCATGTTTAAAGGAATAGTTCACCCAAAAATTACAATTTGTTAAAAATGTCCTCACCCTCAGGCCATCCAAGATGTAGATAAGTTTGTTTCTTTATCAGAACAGATTTGGAGAAATTTAGCATTACATCACTTGCTCACCAATGGAGCCTCTGCAGTGAATGGGTGCCGTCAGAATGAAAGTCCATAAACCATAATAGTGCTTCCTCTAGTCAAAAATTTAATTCCAGGTTGGCCTCTCACATAAAAATCCACCGACATGTTTGTTTAGAACTGTTTTGGACTGTTTTCACTTGTAGGACTCGTATTTTAGCTAGAAGCAACAGTTTGAAGTTCAAAATGTTTTAATGATTGCTTTATTACAAACACGCAGCTTTTCATTTCACAAGACATTAATGTATCAACTGGAGTCATGTGGATTACTGTGATGCTCGTATCAGCTGTTTGGACTCTCATTCTGACGGCACCCATTCACTTGCAGAAGATCCATTTCTGTCCAGATGAAGAAACAAACTCATCTTGGATGGCCCGAGGTGTGAGTAAATTTTCAGCAAATTTTCATTTTTGGGTAAAATATTCCTTTTAAGGGTAATCTATAATTTGATCAAAATAATCAATCAACAAATATAAAACATAAAATCATACAAAAATGTTACAAGATAACTGATGTATTCACTTACTGTTCAAGCCCTGTTTGTTGACGATAGTACTGCTGGCCAATGCTTCGTAATACTGCTGATTACTCATCAGTGTGTGCATGCCCAAAATGGCTTTTCAAATTTAGAAAGAGGGGGAAAAAAAACAGAATAAGTTGGATGAAGCTGAAGATAAAAAGGGGGCCAAGTCTATATTTTACCCTGCTTATCATGTTAGTCAAGTTTTCTTAAGTATACAAAACACAGGACTTTATATGGCCATTATCCATCCTCCATCCTGCTGAATGAAATATATTACTTGTTTATGTAAATCATATGTAAAATCATGTTTTCCAAGATAATTTGGAACTCAAAATCATTTACATTTACCTGACGAAAAATATATCAAGCAGAACAATAATGCCATCAAATGAACTAGTGCAGAACAAAATATGAAAATGAACAGCAAAACATCTGAATAGGGAGTCGAGAGGAAAGTGCAATTTATGAGTCTGGCTTGTATACTGCATCTGATTGTTGACCCTGGGCCAAAGACAACTGAGCTAACCTCATTCCCATATGAAGCTCCTATCTGTCTGTACATATAAGCTGTTCAGAATGGGTCGACTCCTTAAATCCTGCTGTTTTTGAAACACGATCCCAAAGAAAAAAAACTATTGACCTCATTTTAAGGGAAACCTCTCCATCATGCTAAATGAGAGCAAGTTAATGGCTGATGGTCGAGAGGTTTTTTTTTTAACCAGCAGGAAAATCTTGTTCCCCTTTTTTGGTAGCCATGTGTCTTTAGTGCACATGGATGAGTCACTGTTATGAAAGAACTCAAACTTGCATATGCAGTTTCAGGAAATGGCATGTGCACGCTACACAAAGTTCGCCTAAAAATACAAATTAATTATTTATCCTGTTGTTCCATGATTTAGAGATTCAGAGATTTTGAAGAATTTTGCTGCTCTTTGTGGTGTCTCAACAGAGAAATGATTGGAAGCAACATGACAGAGTTTTCATTTTTGGTTAAAATAACTCACTTAAATCATACAGATAACATAATGTGCTGACCATGCAAATACTGAATTAATGTTTAAGAAACATTCTGGCAATGTTAAAGCAGCATACAATGTTGCAGATAAACCTACTGGAATGATCCGTGGCTTAGAAACGGTGGAGCAGGGCAGTGGACAGAGAAAATGAGAAATGAAGATGTAAAAATGGAGTGGAGAAAACTAAAGGACAGACCACAGAGAGGCACACGGTGAGATACAAACACATACACACACACACACACACACACACAGAGGAAGTGGGAATTAGTCAATGAAATTACAGATGTATTTGAATATGGATTATTATTCAAATTAGTGAACAGAAGGTGCTGAATGGAATTACATCTTAATACATTTATTTTAAACTTAAATTTATAAAATGGTATCTCGGATCCTAAGAATCAAAGAAGCATAACCTACATATATGAATGAAATTGCTGACATTTGTATTGTACCTGCTATATCGCACAATTCTGCATCAGTAGCACTAGATAGCGCCTCCTCTAGTTCAGGCTCCAGAGTGACATCTTCCAGGATAGGGTCAACAACTTTGGTCTTAGGAACCCACGCTTTTCCTACATACAAACATTTAAAGACAGAAAGATTTAAATGTAAAAATACTTAAATTTAAAGATATACAAAGAGAGGGAAAGAACAAATGCCTTAATTTATGACTGTCATTTCAAAATAATTTTGCCCCTAAAAACAATTTATTAAATGTGAGAGTGCTTGTTTAATATGAGATGTGATATGTGAATAAAATAAAAAAAAATATTTTTGCACATCATTTCCAATGGTAAGCTGCAATTTCCTTGTGTTATACAAAAAGTGTAAAATACATAGGTTTGTATTTAGGTTTCATAAAAGGGCTATGAAATTTGTAGCAGTTAGACAAAGTTGTTTGTCATTTTATTTATTGTCATTTCCACTACAAAATGTCAAACACAAAGCTGGAAATGACAGTGTAGTGGCAATGTTTATAACTTTCAAGATAAAAAGACAAAAATGACAGAATTTCTCCTGTGATGTATTTACACTGTAGGACATTTTTAGTCCACAAATTACAAACTAATGAGAGTTTCTTTTCTAAAAGTTCCAAAAGTGCCCATGGTTCTAAATTGAAGTCACTTCTTACCTCTTTTCTCGCCAGTGTAGGGAACAAGATCATCTCGATCTGGATGTTCTTTGGCCTGTTTCTCCAGGTGAGATAGAAGGTCATCTCTCTGGAACGTTCCGGTCGGAGCTTTCTTAGTCTGATCCCTCTGTCTGAATCCTGCCGGCAACAGTGCGTTCTGAGAACAATATCATTCATAAACATTAGATCTGTCATCAAACGATCATAAAAAGCACACCGAATGTAAAATAGCACATTACATAAAAGATAAACTTGCCATATCTTAAATTACCATAGATTCTTAATACCATCACTGTATATGGTACAGTCACAGGGGCCATCTTCCATCAATTTCCTGTATCAGGCTATATCAGATTTCTGAAGCTTGCACCTAACCCAGGTTTTCTTATTTGCACCCACATACTGAAAAGGTAAACGCCACAAATGCCTCAAATACAGAGAGCAATGATAACATTCTTCTAAGACAGGGCCTATCAGCCGCAGAGCAAAAGGGGGGATGTGTACATACGTGCATGATAAATGTGATGACAGAATCCAGAACACACAGCATTTCAGAGAGAACTCGGAGAGAACAGAGCTTTATAGGACACCTTAGCATTGTTTATCCTTAGTGCAGATAAAATTGAGCAAATGGAGACTCCGGGTAACTAAAGTGACATTTAAAATCATTAAAGTAGATATTTCCACTACAAAATTTACAGCACAATTTAGTGCTTCAGGAAAAGGCTCAGCTTTGGTGGGGAATGTTTATTTTTGTTACATTTGAGCAGATTAACTTGTTCCAGCACTAGTATTTATGGTAAACTTCTGCACCTCTGGCTGAACATCTGAGTTTGGGAGAAGAAATTCTCTTTTCCCTCTTCTCTGTTGCTGAACATTTATCCTACATCGGTGTCTAAATCTGTCAAGACGTGCTTAGATGCTGGAGTCAAACCAGATTCTCAAGAGCGAATACAAAACTGTGGTCTGAGTGAGAAAAAGAACAGCAACAAAGAGAACCAACGCCTTACAAGACTTGCAATTCCCTAAAAACACTACTGCAATACAACAGCACACACTCCAACCACTGTAAAACGACACAGTCCGATCAAGCTGACTTCACCATGATGGTCTAAACTCAGAAACGCCAGTGTGACAACACAGCCCAGACAAACACAAACCACAGGAATTAAGTGCACTGAAACAATGTCCAACATCAAACAAACCACAATAGGCTACAACACAGTCCAAAGCAAAACAATACAGCCCAGTCAAACAAACACCACTATGAAACAACGCAGTAAAGACAAACAAACACTATGAAACAACACAGAAAGTGGGTTTCTTAAACAAAAATGCCATTGAAACAACAACACTAAACAAATGATTGTACAACACAGTCCAGATGAAAAAGCAGGAATTAAGCTGGCTTCTTAAACAATAAATAGCAACACAGTCCAAAGTAAACAACACAATCCAGTCGAACAAACACCACTGTCACAGTACAGACATACAAGCAAACACATTATACATAAAACACAGTAAAGCCAAACAAAGTACACTGGGAAATAGCACAGTCCTGACAAACAAACCAAACTAGGTAGCAACAATCACAAAGAAAAGAAAAGAAAAGAAAAAAAGAAAAGTTTATTAACCTTTCACATTGCAAAGTATTCAGAGACAACTGAACTATGAAATGTGTTTCATTTTATGGAGCTCCTAAAGTCCATTTTTAGAAGTGTTTTAAGTGCACTTACATCAGGATCAAGCTCTTCAAGTTCATCTTCAAGTCTCCTGAGCTCTTCTTCACTGAGCTTCTGCAAGAGCTCATCCTCATCCACATCCAGGTACTTGTCCATCTCTTTACGGAACATGGTGAACAAGATAAAATAGAAGAAGTGGACAGAAGAAAGGAAAAAAGACAGGAACAGTTGAGCCGCCCAACCACAGCACCTTGGTAAAGACGAGAAACAGATTCATTATTAGGCTATTCTAAAGAAGCTTCAAAGGATTTTATGCTGAATAATTATGTTCTTCATGATGATCACTATGTCAAGACTATAATTTATGATTTTCTACTATATTTAAGTGGATTAATCGAGACAATTTCAAAGCATATGGGTTATGGAGAGCAGAATAACCACAGGTGTTCTTCATCACATTAACTGAGGACATGCTCTGCTAACATTTAACAACCAGATAACGCATAAATACTTTGTGTTTATATCTGTCTATGCTCGAGTATTTATGACCTAAACTTTTGAATGACTCTTTTCCAAATGTTTTGTTTTAAAAGTTGGCTTATGCTTGCTTTCTTTAAAATACGTGTATGTATATATATATATATATATATATATATATATATATATATTTTATATATATATAATATATAATCTTAAAGATTAGATAAATGGAGTCATGTATTAATACATCTACATGAAGTCAAACCGAAGGCTGGCATCTGTTTTGGACCAGCTCCATTGTCCTTGGTGAATCCAATAGACAAGGACATTGACCAGCAAACTTCAACACACTATATAATGCAAATTTATTGACTTGAAACCTCTAGTTTAGGTTTCCACAATCAATAAACTAGCTATTATATACACATTTCCGGTTCCTCACACAAACTACTTTGCCACTTCTGTTAATAAAACTCTCTAAAACAAGTGCAAATAACGATCTATAGAAAAAAGGTGTGTTGCTTCTGATCAGGAAAGACCAGATACATATCTTATAACATTAGCAAAATAAAGGTAAAATATATATCATACATTCAAAACCGCAAGCCTAATTATTATTTATCAGATATAGCCTATCATTTTCTCCGAGCGTCATCAGTTCTGTTAATATACATATTTGTATGTTTCATTGCTCTGTGCAACGATGAGGAAAACAAAGCGTGTTAGTACCGGAGCGTCTATCATTCTCACTTACTTCAGACAGCGCTTATCCCACACTATATATAGCGCATGTGACAGCTGAATACTTTGACCAGATATGGTTTCTTTTCGGAGCCGCTAATTCACACAAATGCGCAGCTGCCTCAAGCAATGAATTCTCAAGTCCAAGGTTCATAGAAGAACAGCGCTTGACACGGCGCAGAAAAGTCCAAATATTAAAAGCAGTTACTGCTCGAGCCTTCTTTCAACAAGTCTAGCAGTCGGTGTCGATCAGTTTCTACAAACACGGAGCGCAGAACACGGCCCCGCCCACCGCGCCGACCTGCCAATCAAATGATGCCATACCTCAAGCCCACCAATCAGGGGATTTCATGGGTCCCACAACTCAAAGCTGCATTTTTACCGATATCAAGTTGCAAAAACAAATGACAGTCATCCAACTGTCTTAGTATTTTTGTTTAATGCTCTGAACCAAATGTTAACTTGGAAATAAAACAAACCTGAGCATCTGAACACAAATGTTATTTTACAATTAGACCATCTTCCGTTTAGAAAACACACAATAAGATCACAAACAAAGTGCAAAAATCAATGAGTATAAACAATACAGGCAGTAGTGTCTCACACAATACACACGTGAAAAAAACAAATTACCAAAATGGCCTCATTGTAAAGACACAGAAACAGAAGTTGTCCAACGAGTTAATTTGGTAATGTTATAACATTATTATTTATCATAACCGCAAAAACAGGTAAAGAAATCCCTTTTCCATGGCACTCAGAACAATAACTGAAACAATGCTTGAGCATGCACGAATAAAATGACCCACCAAACACATCTAGAGTTAATTCTCTCAAATTCTAGATCAAGGTTTCTGCAGGCTCAAAGTTTCAGCATGGTCCTTGGAAAGGCTAGTCATGGCAGTCTCAAGCATCTCTGTTGATCTCATCTAAAAACTCCACCATAATGTTGTGGATCCAGATGTCATTGTCCTCCTGTGTGGTGTCCACTAGGTAGACTGAGATTTTGCGCTCCCAGGGACACTCCCCCTCCTCAACTGACTCGATCTGAGCCACCAGCGGCTTTTTCTCAACATGGTTACGGAACACCATAGAAGCTTCCTCACCCCAGACCCCTTGCTTGACACCTGAAAACAAGCATTTCACATGCAAATCAGAAGCTTTCACAGATATAGGGCTGGGCGATACATCAAATATTTACAATATATTTGATATTTTTATTGACAACATAAAACTGGCTCAGTATTGTGAATATCTCGATTTTAATATTTGTATTTGGTTGTTAAGCATACTGAAGACTAGGCAAGCAAACTTTGTGTCACAATTAGATACTTAAATTATACATAAATTGAATCGGTTCAGAATCAGTTGTTGACTCAAATCCCTGTGTGGAATTTCGCATGCTCTAAAAAAGTATTAGAAAATAAATATGCAGGGAAATAGTACTCTTTATTATTTTTAATGTGTTATACTGGTGCATATATAAATATAGCAATATATTGTTTTAGTTAGTATTCTTTTAGAAAAAAAAGGCTCGTTTTAGCTTTTTTATTGTACTTGCTTTAAACGTTTTTAATCTACTTGCCAACAATGGGCGTTTCGCTGAAATATATGGCTACTTTGAAAGACAAATCACCCTTTAAGCCATTTCAGAGCAAATATGTACACAGGGATTAAAGTTCCGTCGCTACGACGGATTTCCGTCAGTTCATAAAGACACCGTGCATTCCAAACGGGATATATCGCCCTCCGAAGGGCACTTCGGAGTGAAAACAATCATGGCCGCCATATTGAAGGGTCGTTCCAAACTGAAGTGCTCAAAACTGGCCACTTCAAAGGGCCCTTCGGAATGTGCCCTTTCGAAGGGCACAACTGATGGACACTTCGGGCTCCCATGAACCTTTGCACAGATTCTTTGCATGATGGCGGCGCCTCCGTGTGGGCACGTGATTATGACGCAGAAGGTCCCTACACCCTTCAACCCTTCGAAGCTCTCACTCTGGAGGGTAAACCCTTTGGAAGTGATTAGGGCATAGGGATGTGCCCTTCCGAACGGAACGCAGGGACAGTCACTTGCTTCATTCCTGAATCCTTAATCCCTGTGTACATCAAATATTAGTAAAAGGCTGAAAAATAACCGACAATTTTGTTTTAGCTTCAATTGGCTCCTGCTTGTCTCTTACCAGCCAATTGAGCAGAAATTCCCTGGAACGGCAGCTGCCTGAACTCATCGATGAGTGGTTGGAGATGGGAATAGTTGATCAACTCGTACTTCCCATAATCCAACTCGTACACAGAGACCAAGTCATTGGTCAAGACGCCCTTTACCAAAACACGATGCCAACTATAAATAAAGAGAGAGGTGAAGACAAAGGAAGAGTGAAAAAAAAGACAGAAAAAGATTTAGTTGCAAAGAAGGGTGAGGAAGTATAATCCTCAAATGCCACTCATATCTCACTTGTTGTCGATCTTGGCAGCGTAGACGTTATTCTTCTGGATGCTGATTTGGGTTACTTCCTGTTTGTTGTAGAACAGGATCATCTCTCCCATCAGCACCACCAGCTTGTACAGATCCTGCCATGGCTGCAGCACGAAGTGCCCAGGGTGGCATGCAACCGACACAAACACATCCACGTTTTGCCCGACTAGTGGTAAGTCCAGCGGAGGGGGCAGTGTGAGGGCATTCAACTGTGCAGGAGATGTATAGGAGCTGTCCCCTGCCTCTGGCAGGATCGGTTCGGAAACCCTGGCGATCTCGCTGAAGTAGACATCCCGCTGCCAGAATGGACAGGAGGCAAGCTGATGGTTAACACTGCTCTGAAGGTCCTGAGCTCCATTACCAGAGAAGAGATAGACGTGCACAGTCCTGGTCTCATCAAGCTTCACTATCTAAACACAACACAAATGCCAATAAATGGAAACTTTAGAGTAAGAATATCAAAAATTAAAACACAATTTTCAGTAAGCAATAACAGAATGTGCAAGACCTTCATGCAACTGGGGACTTTGTTGAGGACTGTCTCTCTCAACCACAGAACAGCTTCAGGAGGCCAAACACTCTCATCTGCATTCAGTTCCTCCAGGATACACTTTATAGCCTACAGAGGCAGAAACATTTACTTTCATTCATAAAGACTAATGCCATGCCACAGACCTGATCCAATAATAACACTCACTAAATGGACTAACTAAAAATAGTTATTTGAGAGTTACTGTATTATTCAAAGTCAAACACAAAGTTAAAAGTAAGTGATAAGTGATGAGCTTGAATGACTGAGACGTCTGCATGTGTACCTGAGGAGGTATGGTGATGAGCTCTTTGAGGTAAATTGGCGGGATCTCTCTGAGCTCACTAACCTCCAGAGAAGCAGGAAGTCCCAAATCCAAAAACAGGATGTCCAACACTTGACTGCCATGAAGGTTAATGATCTACACACAAATGCCACACACATTCATATAAGCAATGAAAATATAAATCACTCTATTTGGAAAGACTTCAGACATTCTAGAAGACTAGCATGATTCTAGAATGACGGAAGTACATCTACATAGGAAAAAAAAGACATTTGATTTTATTTTGATATATTGCACAGCCTCAGTTTTCACTGAACAAATGGCAATTTAAATGTGTGGAGACAGTTAGAACATGACATGAGTGATGAAGGGAAAGTGTAGGCAGTCTTCTCACCTCTGCTCTCGCCCATTTGCCTTTGTGTTTAGCTAGACACACTTTCCCGCAGAACGGTTTGGACACCAACAGCTCCCATGTTAACTTAGAAACGCATAAGAGACATTTAATGCTCTCATAATCAATACACCTCCTAACAGAATCATAAAAATCACTGAATTTAACTCTTTTACCTGAGAGATGAAGTGTGCTTCAATCTTGTCCATGATGTCTTTGAGTTTGGCCTGGCCTCGAGAAGGCAACTGACAGTAAATACTGCCATCAGAGCACACATTTGTCACACACACGTTTGTGTACACACTGTTCACCTGAAGAGATGGGGGAATGAATTTATTCATTTGTATAAATGATTTTCTCAAAGTCTAACAAAATATGCAGCAATTTAATAATCATGTGATTTTATTTAATTCTGATTGACCTGTAAAGGATTCTCCATGGACTTATCCTGCAGGGCTTTCAAGCATACAGCATTCACATTCACATCCTCATTCTGAGAAGTGTCATACAGCACAATAAGGGGTGTGTCCTCACGCTCCACAATCTCAGCCAACAGTGTACGACCAACAGCTAATGAGTCCAGAGACTTCAGAACTACCGCATCTGTACTGAATGGCTCCAGACCTAACATAAAAAAACGTGAATGTGAACACAAAATTACATCACATATTACTCTCTCACATATGGAAGATTACTTTCACCATGGAACAAAAATATAAAAAAGGTCATTGCGATTTTTATCTTACAATCCTAAATTTTTTCTCATTATTCTGAGTTTACATCTCGCAATTTAGTTTTTTTTCTGCTATGGAATAAAATTAGTTAAATGAAGCTATTTATCTCACAATTCTGTTTATCACTCGCAATTCTGAAAAAAGAAGAAGTCAGAACTGCAAAATAAAAAGTCACAATTACCCTTTTTATTTAATTTTTTTATTCTGTGGCAGAAATAAGCTTCCATACTCACATATACACAAGTCTCATGAAGATTACCTGCAAGTTGGCATGTGGTTGCCTGGAAGGGAATAGTCAGGAATTGATCCCTCAGCTGTAGTATCTTCTTCCTGCTGACCACTTCAAAGAACCCGTGATCTACACAGTACACCTACGAAAAAGGAAAAGTTTGAATTACATCTAATGCAAACTGACTTTATGTTTTATACACAGAAATATATACAGACTCTGATACCTTCACATTGTCCTCTGTGACCTGGTGGACCTGAGCTCTCAGTACTGCATCTTCCTCTATAGCAACTGCCACGAGTTGTCCAATTTTTGGGGAGAGAAGACAAAGTCCAGCTCCAACTGTACTATAGAATTGCAGCATGGCCTCCTCCAACACCTCCAAAGCTTTAGAGTACACTTCCCCCACAAACCTGAAAAACAAGTCACCATCATGAATCCACAACTTTAAATAGTCGTTAAAACGATACATAACTAGAGATACATCTTGTATCTAATAGTAAAGTATTGGTTTTGTGAGTCTTACCTGAGAACAATATTGTCTGTGCTGCTGACCTCCATCACCAAAACAGATAGGAACTCTGTTGTT